ATTCATCCTGAAACTCGCAGCTCCAAAACACATGGGAAAGTCCTAAATAATGATTGTTAGACGAACAAATAAGGCATTATTAACAGTTAAGTTATAATAAAAGGGACCTCAAAGAGGGATTTTTCAAAAGAGTTTTTTTTTTTCTGTGTTTGTGTAGAATATTGTGCCAAGTAAGGCATATGAAAGACGAGTGGAAAAAACATGCATTATGTTTTGCGTTTTATGTTTAGTTGTCCTTTCAGGAAAGAGTGCTCTAAGGATGTTATCTTTTCAGATGCGAATTTATGTCCAATTTAGCAAGTAATTTCCTCATAGAATAAATAGATATTTCTTGGTTTCATTGTTAGTGTATATTTAGTTAATAGACTACAACCTGGCTAGCACAAAGAGTTAAGCAATCGACAGCTAGCTGAAAGGCTTGCAGTTTGAACCCACCCAGAGGTGCCTTGGAAGACAGGCCTGATGATCTGCTTCTGAAAGGTCCACACACAGCCTTGGAAACCCTATAGAGCAGTTCTGCTCTGCACACCTGGGGTCACCATTAGTTAAAATTGACTCGATGGCAACCAGCTACAGCAACAACAGTTAATAGATTGCTAGGCAGTAATTAATAGATTGCTAGGCAGTAATTAATAGATTGCTAGACATTTAACATTGCAAAGAATGGGAATTCCAGAACACTTAATTGTGTTCATGAGCAACCTGTACACAGACCCAAGAAGCAGTCATTCTAACAGAGCTTGGGGATGCTCCATGGTTTAAAATCAGGAAAGGTGTGCATCAGGGTTGTAACCTTTCACCATACTTATTCAGTCTGTACGCTGAGCAAATAATTCAAGAAGCTGGACTGTATGAAGAATGGGGCATCAGGATTGGAGGAAGACTCATTAACAACTTGTAATATGCGGATGACACAACCTTGCTTAATGAAAGTGAAGAGGACTGGAAGCACTTACGATGAAGATCAACTACAGCCTTCAGCGTGGATTACACCTCAACATAAAGAAAACAAAAATCCTCAACAACGAGACCAGTTAGCAACATCATGATAAATAGAGAAAATATTGAAGTTGTCAAGGGTTTCATTTTACTTGGATCCACAATCAACGCTTATGGAAGCAGCAGTCAGGAAATCAAAGGACGTATAGCATTGGGCAAATCTGCTGCAAAAGACCTCTTTAAAATGTTAGAAAGCAAAGATGTCACTTCGAGGACCAAAGTTCGCCTGACCCAAGCCATGGTATTTTTAGTTGCCTCGTATGCATGCAAAAGCCGGACGATGAATAAGGAAGACCGAAGAATTGGTGCCTTTGAATTATGATGTTGGGAAAGAGTATTGACTATACCATGGACTGTCAGAAGAACGAACTAATCTGTCTTGGAAGAAGTACAGCCAGAATGCTCCTTAGAAGCAGGGATGACAAGACTTCGTCCCACATACTTTGGACATGTTATCAGTAGTGACCAGTCCCTGGAGAATGACATCATGGTTGGTAAAGTAAGAGGGTCAGCAAAAAAGAGAAAGACCCTCGCAAGATGGCTTGACACAGTGGCTACAACAATGGGCTCAAACTAAGACCATCTTAATTGCACGGGCTGTTTTCAGAAAACAAGAGACAAAAAGCCAAACTTAGTTCTTTGTTCCACAGTTTTATTCTGAGATGTTTATTTTAAATTCATTCCCACTATACCTAAACAAGGAGTCCTGGTGGTGCAGTGGTTAAAGCGCTTGGCTGCAAACCAAAAGGTCAGCAGTTGGAATCCACCAGATGCTCCGTGGAAACCTTATGGGGCAGTTCTACTCTGTCCTATAGGGTTACTGTCAGTTGAAATCTACCCAACAGCAACAGATTTGGTTTTGGTTATTTACAACCCTAGGCCTAGAACTGGCTATTTTTCAAGGAGCCTTGATTCTTTTTAGTGAAAAATGATGTTTGGGGATGACAACCTGCACATTTCTACAGGATTGGTAAATTTCATCAGTGGAAACCAGCGCTAGAAAATAGGTTTATGTTGTGGATTTTATTGTGTCCTCCGAAAATATGTGTTGTAAATTCTAACCTTTATGCCTGTGGTTATAATCCCATTTGGGAATGGGCTGTCTTTGTTATGTTGACGAGGCAGGATTAGTCTAGGGTGTATTTTTTTTTTTTTTCATTGTGCTTTAAAGTGAAAATTTACAGAGCAAATTAGTTTCTCCTTAAACAATATACAAATTGTTTTGTGACCTTGGTTGCCAACCCTGCAATGTGTCAACACTCTCCCCTTCTCGACCTCGATTTTCCCATTTCCAGTCATCTAGTTTTCCTGTCCCTTCCTGCCTTCTCTTCTTTGATTTGGGCTGGTATGCCCATTTAGTCTCGTATACATGGTTGAACTACATGTGTTATTGTTTGTTTTATAGTGTAGGGTGTATCTTGAATCAATATCTTTTGAGATATAAGAGAGATTAAAGAAGCAACTAAGAAGGAGAGATGGGGTAAAATAGATGCAAAGACACGTGGAGATCTCCAAGGTACCAGGAAGCAGAAGCTGAAAAGACAAGGACCTTCCTCCAGAGCTGACAGAGAGAGAAGGCCTTCCCCTAGAGCTGGTTCTCTGAATTCGTACGTCTAGTTTCCTAAACTGTGAGAAAATAAATTTCTGTTTGTTAAAGCCATCTACATGTGGTATTTCTGTTATAGCAGCACTAGATAACTAAGACAGTGTATATGAGTGTGTGTGTTTTTACTTAAGAAATACAGTGTGAGTTTAAACTGACACTTCCAATTCAAATTGAGGACCATACATGCTTACCTTTTGTCTCACATCCATGTCTTTCTCCCTCCCAAGAATCCCATTTTCTTAAGGACACCGGGCCTAGCTGAATTAGAATATTCCATCTTACTAATTTGTTTTGTTTCACATAAACCAATCTCAGAATAGCAATATCAAAATTGCTACTAACAGTATGATTACTAAAAAGGAAAGAATGTAGTGATTCAGTTGAATGCTTTATAGGTTTTATGTCTTTTCTTATATTAGTTTTGCTGTATTATACTTTTTTCCCCAGGAATTTACCAATTCTTCTAAATTTTTAGTTCTCAGCCTAAAATTGTTCTATAATCTTGTTGTCTTTTAAACTATAGCTTTAAGTATAGTTTAATTCTCCTTTTTGTTCTTACTATTATTTATTTGTGCCTTTCTTTTCTTCTTGCTTTATCTTATCTAAAGTTTGTCTTTTCAGTCTTTTCCAGGAATAGCTTTTAGCTTTATTAAACCTTGATAATACCTGTATTAGTTCTATTTTTTTCCCTTTTTTTAAATTATGTTTTAGATAAATGTTTATAGCAACTTTCTACACAAGTTGTTTTGTGATGTTGGTTGCAATCCCCACATTTTGTCAGCACTCTCAGAATCGACTCAGTAGCAGTGGCTTTGGTTTTTTTGGTTATTTTCTTTGGCTTTATTCCCCCCCCCCCCCGCGCCCCCCCGTCCCATTCTTAGATTGGACAGTTTACTCATTATTTCTCAGTTTTTATTTTCTAATGTAAATGTTTAAGGCTCTTAATTTCCATTTAATGTATTGCTGCTATCAGTAGCAATTTATTGTAATCTTCAATTAGGATAGTGTCTGTTTTCTGTGATAGTTTTATGAATTTTTTATCTGTTTTTGGTATGTTTCTGAAGATGTTTCCCCCCTTTTAGCAAAGTAGTTTGCAAGCTTAATGCTTTTCCCTCATTTGTTGTTTATATTATAATTTTATATACAGTATGGTTGTACCTACTTTTGCATACTGATGTTTCTGAGGAGTTATGTATTAAAATTGTGTTTTTCTTTTCGTTCTTTTTATTCATCCACAAATTCTCCAAAGTTTTTTTTAAAGCTAGGTTTATTGAGGTATAATTTACCTACAATTAAATCCATCCCTTTTAGTATAGAGTTTTATTAGATTTGACAGAAACATGCAGTCACACAACCTTCACCACAATCAAGATAAAAACACTTCCATCATCCCAGAAGTTCACCCCTGTTACTTTGTAGTCATCCCTTCTCATGCTCTTATACTCTCATTGGTACTTGTCTTTTTTTTTTCAGTTTCAGTTGGTTTCCTTTTGACCTCAGCTCTCTCATGGGTCCCAGAAAAATTATAATTTTATAGTTTGACTTGTTGTTCTTTGGGTGGGAATGATGCTCAGCTGTCTGTCTGTATTTTTGGTGCAAGGTGAACCCTGCTATTTTTCTTGTCAAGTCATTTTTTATAAATTCAAATTTCCATGTATCATTTTTGGATTAACACCTCCGTTTGAATATCTTCTCCCACAGATGTATTTTCTTTTATATTCATGTGTATCTTCATTGAAATTTTAAATATCTCTACAATGGTCTCTTAGGTATTTCTATAATTTGTATTTGAAATCTTTTAAAGTTTAGACTTAAAACATTATAATTTTAATATGTAAGTTTCACATTTATGAATTCTTTGACTTTCTCCCATTTCATTTCTGATTTTCAAATTAAATATTGGCATGTGTTATCCTGACTTTTACCCCACTACTACAGGTCTTTTTTTGTTAATATGTAATCAAGAGGAATGTTAGGAAAACTTTGAAATATGTAAATTTTTTGTGTCAGATATTCATTTGTGTTTATCACTTTACTATCCCTAGCTAATTTTGAGGCTATGTGAAAAAGTTTCAGATTAGATCGTTGTATTAAAGAAATTGACTCTTATTATCATTGTATTAAAGAAATTGAGTTGTGAATATTGATCAATTTTTTAACATTTTAGCTGAGCTGCTAGTATCTCTTGTCTTGGAAATGTGTTATGTTTTTTGATAGATTATTTTTGAGCAGATTTCCACTATTTATTGAGACGTTTTAAATGTGCTGTTGAATAAATGACAATGTGTCATCATGTTGGAAGCAATATTGCAATGTTAAACTTAATTTTACATCATTAATTTCATGGACTTTAATAGTGATTTGCTAAACATTTATTTTCTTTTTCTTTTTATAGGTTATTTTGGTGTCTGCCAATAAATTGACTCGTTACATAGAACCATGCCAGTTGACAGAAGATTTTGGTGGTAGTCTTACGTATGATCACATGGACTGGTTAAATAAGAGGCTGGTTGGTATATAACAATGAGATAAAATGTTATTATGTATAAATAAGACATTCTGATGACTTTACCATTTTAATTAACTAAAAATGTAGATTGTTTTTCTTTTTACAAATATGAAACCATTTAGCACATTCTGCATTATAGCCTGATACTTGAGGACAGACACTCTGGAGTCTGATTGATTTTATTAGAATCCTGCTCTTGCTCTTTGCAGAGTATGTGACTGTCTTAGTTTTCTAGGACAGCCATAACAAAATACCACACAGTGCATGGCTTTAAAAAAGTAGAAAGTTGTTTTCTCATGGTTCTGGAGGCTAGAAGTCCAAATTAGGGTATGGGCTGTGCTGATCCCTTCTGAGAGCTCTGAGAGAGGAACTAGTTCATGCCTCTGTCCAAGCTTCTGGTGGCTGCAGCAGTCCTTGGTGTGCCTTTGCTGCTTCACATTTGCTTCACATGGAGTCCTTCCCCTGCTTGTGGACTGTTTCCATGGCAGTTCTTCTCTTTTATAAGACACCGCTTAGAAGGGATTAGGACTCACCCTACTCCGGTATGACTTCCTTAATTTAACTGAGAACATCTGCAAAGAAAAACCCTATTTCTCCAAATAAGATCACATTCACAGGTGCAGCCCTTAGGACTGCAACACATCTTTTAGGGGGAGTTATAATTCATTCTGTAACAATGACTTTCAGCAATGTATTTTACCTCTGTGTGCTTCTATTTCCCCATCTCTGTAATGTTGTTTAAGGAACCCTGGTGGCTCAGTGGTTAAGCCCTCACCTGCTAACCAAAGGTCCATGGTTCAAACCCACCTGCTGCTGCCCAAGAGAAACGTGGCAGTCTGCTTCTGTAAAGAGTACAGCCTTGGAAACCCTATGGGGCAGTTCTACTCTACCTTATAGGATCACTGTGAGTCAGAAATCAACTTGACGGCAATGGGTTTTTTTGTTTTTGTTTTTTTTTGGTTAATAATGTTGTTCGTTGCTGTCAAGTTTATTCTGACTCATGGCGACCCGATGTGTTACAGAATAGAGCTGCTCACAGTTGAGCACAAACCATTTGTGCCACCTAGGGACCTCGTCTCTATAATGGTTCCTACCTTATGGGATTGTGGATAAGATGAAATAAATCTGCACATAAAGAATTTAGAACAGCACCTGGCACGATGTAATACTGTAGCATTACATAAGTGTTAACTATTACTGTTCTGATTAGTAGCAGTAGCTTTACTAGTCAGATTTGTAAATCTTTAAAGGAGAATAATAGAGTAGCATAATTTCTTGAGAGGTGATATAGTTGATCTACTATTTACTAAGGAGATATTTAAACATCAGCTTGAACTCATCAATTTGAAGTGCAATTTGATAGATTAAACATTCCTTTCCCTAAATGTATCTTTATCAGGTCAGACTTCTGAAATCTGCTACTCTGTATAATAAGACATTGTTTTATGAACTGTAGGGGACTGAAAGAACAAACTTCAGATTAACTCAGTTTAGATTATATACTAATTTTTTTGAAGAATAATGAAGTTTGTTGTCTCAGAATGAATAATGGTTTTTGTTTCCACAGCAGTTGAACAGACAAATGAGTATTCACTTTATTACATGTGTTTAAACAGACTTGCCCAAATCCCTTTTAAGAAATATTTTAAGAAATCATGTTAAAATTATAACATTAATTTTTATGCTACCTGCTTGTATGTAAAACCCTTTAACTGTTACATGCAGTCAGAATAGCATAAAGAAATGTCTTATAACTAGAATGTTCTATAACTGAAATTAGAGGATTAGAACTGGTCCAAATAATGTTCATGTAGTTACAGCTATTATTGGTGAAAATGTTACTCAGACAGACACAGGAATAAAAATAAACTTGTCTTAATGAGAACGAAAAATGATTCCTTATATATTTAAATTTTAAAAAGTCCTTATCCTTTGAAACCATTCATTGTTTTAGGAAATGGTTTTGTCATCTCTGTGTACACTGGTGCTCTGGTGGTTGAATTGCACTAAGTGACTTCCAGGGAAGGAACCCTGGCTGGTTAACTCTATTGCTCTTAACATATTAACACTTAAGATTATTTTCAGTATTGTTAATAAAGTCTCATATTGTAGGTTTTTGAGAAATTTACAAAGGAATCTACATCATTATTAGATGAACTTGCTTTGATTAACAATGGAAGTGATAAAGGAAATCAGCAAGAGAAAGAAAGGTAGGTAGCTAGTGTCATACAATTATATCTTTGCAAAGCTATGATTAATCTGAGAAAAGATACTGTTAATACCAAGAAAAGATATTATTAATGCATGGTTAAAAGAACTAGGGTAAATTCAATCAAAACTGACATACAAAAGTTTAATTAAATTCATTTTTTGATTGGTAAGAATTTATTTTATGTGTAGAACTTACTGATTTGAATCAAAGTTTCTTTCACAAAAGGCATTTTTTGATGAATAACATATTTACCTTTAACACTGAGCTAAACATTTTAGAAACACATGTTTAGAAGAACATGTTTTCAACGATTTCAAAGTGAAACAATTTTCTGCGTTTTTAGAGTTCTGCTTTACTTAGTGAAGAATATGAAAAAGGTTGCAGCTTGAAATAAAATTATTATAACCTTATTTAAATACATGAGCACTTAAATGTCTAGCTTGTAGAATTTGTCATTGCAAAATATGTGATATTCATGAGTTCATCGTGGGGAATGTAGTGTTTTGTGACACTGGACAAAGTGTTCGGTTTTATTATCTAAATGTAACCACCCAGATTTATCATTCTAACAGGTTTCTATTGAACATAACTTTGTCAGTTTTCATTTTTCTGTTGGTAGGCTAAGTTCCTCTCCTTTGGTTTTTGTTTGTTTTTTTAAGGAAGCAAATTAACTCTTTCTGGTCTCCACTGGAAGAGTAATTTTTTGTTAGGAAAGTTGAAAGAATGAACACCTTTCTTTGCGTATCTTCCTTTGTTCTGACCTTGAAAATACAGTGGAACCTTGCTAAAGTGCTTCCTGTTATTATATGAATTCAAATGTAGTCTTGTGTCAGTTAGCTGAAGTAATAAGTGAGGGATGTGAGAAGGTCACAGTTTAACACCAAATCCTGGTTAAAACAAAGTTAAAGTGTAAAGGAAATAAAAAGGTTTAAATGTAAATCTAGTTAAAGTTACAACAAATATTTAGGAACATTTCTATCTTATAGATGCCATATAAAAATGTAAATGTAAAAAATATATATAAATGTGCGTATGTGTGTGCATGTGTGCATACGTGTGTGTATCATACACGCATATGTGCAATGGTTTAGGAATTGAGAATGTTTCACAAGTTAACTTAAGGAACATTAGCCAAACCTGTTTACTTTCCGAGTAGTCCAGCAGAGACTAAATTTGAAGTTCACACTATCAGAGAGAATATTTGCAGCTAGCAGTGGTTGCTGTAGATAAGTAAACCTTTGATAGGGGGATGGGGGGGTGCGTTTTTAGTGTTACGTTTCTAGGTTACTATATAGTTACAGATTCTGAAACATATATTCAGGGAGTAAACACTGAAATGGATTCGTTTTGGTATATTTGAAATAATGCTATAATTAATAAGAATAATCTTTTCCAAGTGATTTTTTTATGATTTATCACATTAATATTTATCTGGCTACTTGTATTATCTGTAATGGGTTTTCTTTGGCTTAAGAGAAATTAGCATGGTAAAATAACATAATTCAGATTTTCCTATTTGTGTGCCCTGTTTAATATGTGTGTATGAAAGACTTAAGTTATATGGATAAAAATATTATTATTTTCAAAATTATTCTTTGATGTTTGCCAGATCTGTGGACTTAAACTTTCTTCCATCAGTTGATCCTGAAACAGTTCTTCAGACAGGTAAGGTGAAAAAATACATTTATTAGTGATAAACATAATATAATAAAACAATCATAGATTGATTGGTTAATTAACTAAACATTAATTGAGTATGTATTATGTGCTAGGAACTTGAGGAAAATTTTTCAAACTGCCTTTTGGTTTAACCTAACAGTGTGTTAATTAATATACTTTAAAATAATAACGATAAGTTGTTAAGTTGAATTATCTCTCCCTTGAAATATTTGGATTTATTTCTATACCTGTGAAATGGAGATAGAAATTCCTAATTTATCAGGCCGCTATGGGTTTGATTTTTCTTTATAAGGATTGTGTAAGGTAATAATAGCTAATTTTATTAAATACTAATTATGTACCATGCATTTTGCTAAACACATTTTATGTATTTTTATATATAATTATCCTGATAATCCTTTGATATAATTAGTGTTATTTTCCCTATTTTGTACTTGAGGAAGTCAAGACTTAGAGATATAAAATAACTTTATCATGATAAAGTAACTGTTAAGTGCTCTCACCATAGCTCAAAATAAGTTGAAATCAAAAGCCACTTGATATACCACTTTACAGTAATCTGTGTAAAAGCATTAGCACATCATAGTGGCCTTGCATATAGTAAGTGCTCAATGCTGCCTGGTAAGTATGTTCTAGCCCAAATATTTCTAGTAGTGGTTTCACAAATTCTAAGACAGTAAACTTGAATGCTTTTAAATGGAATACCTTTATTTTATTTATTTTTAACATTTTCCCACAAATAATAGTTCATAATTTTAATCTGACTGTGTACCAGACAGTGTTCTAAGCACTTGACATGTGTTAGTTAATTTATCATTCACTACAACCTTGTGAATTAGGTGCTATTATTATCTCAACTTTAAGATGGGAAAACTTCTGAGGTATAAGAAGTAGCCAAGTTATGCAGGTTACACAGTAGGGATTGGAACCCAGGCAGTTTCGTTTCAAAATGTATTCTTTGAAATTACTATGTCATGCTGCTTCTCTAATGGAAATGGTATCCACAGGGAAAATGTTAAGGGTAACAATTGTCAAAGTAGAAAAAAATAAATGTATTCTGTTATTAATGACTTTTATGAATATATATGACTTTCTGCAAATCTTTAAAACAGATATTTTGTTATAAAATGTAATGAAGAGTAAAGAAATAGATTCTTTAGTCCTAAGTTTTTTCACTACATCAGAGGTCTTATTTCCTTAGAGAACAAAGAAATAATTGTAGTGTCTGCATATTTAGAAGGTATAGTAGAACTGGCAGTAAAAATTTTATTTTAGAGTTAAAACTTAATTCCACGTATGTATTTATTTTGAAAATTTTTTATTTTAAGCCACTGAATTAAGAAGATTTTTAGATTTGTATTTTAAACTTAACTTTATACGCCATCATATTCTTTTTTATATGCTACTGACTCAGAATAGGGATCAAAAGAGAGTGTAAAATGGAGAGGTTTAGAATAATCTTCGGTGTTTTTTAGAAACTGGAAATACCTCCACATATATCTATATTGTTTTAGACACCCAAATAGTAATCAGAATAATATCCTAGAAAAACATTTTTTATTCACTTTTAAAATTGTTGATACACCTGCAGGTTTATATGTTGGCCATTCTACAATTTTAATTTCTCACGTGTGAGTAAGTAGATTTTCTACATGAGCTTGCAATAAGTGAATCACATTGAATGCAGTTCTTGCACTAGTGTGGCCCTTCATGATTCAGTTAATATGTTCTGGAGCTTCCTATAAATAGATATCGTTTAAATATTATTTTGTACCAGAAATAAAGACTCTCTCCCTTAAATCTAATCATATATTTGTAACAGTATCAACTTTTCTTTTAGAAGGTACAATTAATTAAGAGTATAGCTTTATACTGAAATGTTACAGTACTGCTTGCATTAGCACTATCAGAAATCCCAGAGTGTAATAATGCTGTGCAGGGAAAGAGGATTGGGTGGCTCAGTATTCTCAGTAATGAATCTACCAACAACAAGAATTTACTAAATGTGTGTCTGTGTTTATATCACACATGGATCTCTCTCTCTTTAAAGTATATTTTCACTGGCCAGTGTTTTCAGAAGTAGACTGCCAGGTCCTTCTTCTTAGTCTGTCTTAGTCTGGAAACTCAGCTGAAACCTATCCACCAAGGGTGCCACTGCTGGTATTTGAAGTACCAGTGGCAAAGCTTCCAGTACCACAGCAACAGGCAAGCGACCACAGTACGACAAACTTACAGACACGTGGTTCAGTCATTTCAGGAGGTAGCATATGATCAAGAACTGATGGTACTGAAGGAAGAGATCCAAGCTGAACTGAAGGCATTGGCGAACAACAACACTCTAGGAATTGACGGAATACCAATCGAGATGTTTCAACAGATGGCGGCAGTGCTGGAAGCGCTCATTTGTCTATGCCAAGAAATTTAGAAGACAGCTACCTGGCCAACCAACTGGAAGAGGTCCATGTTTGTACCCATTCCAAAGGAGATCCAACCGAATGCGGAAGTTATTGAACAATATCATTAATATCACACACGAGTAAAATCTTGCTGGAGATCATTCAAAAGTGGTTATAGCAGTACATCTACAGGGAACTGCGAGAAATTCAAGCCAAATTCAGAAGAGGTTGTGGAACAAGGAATATCATTGCTGGTATCAGATGGATCATGGCTGAAAGCAGAGAATACCAGAAGGATGTTTACCTGTGTTTTATTGACTATGCAAAAGCATTCAACTGTGTGGATCATAACAGATTATGGATAACATTGCGAAGAATGGGAATTCCAGAACACTTAATTATGCTCATGAGGAACCTGTACATAGACCAAGAGGTAGTCATTTGAACAGAACAAGGGGATACTGTGTGGTTTAAAGTCAGGAAACATGTGCATCAGGGTTGTATCCTTTCACCATACTTACTCAATTTGTATGCTGAGCAAATAATCCAAGAAGCTGGACTACATGAAGAAGAATACGATGTCAGGATTGCAGGAACTCATTAACAACCTGCGATATGCAGATTACACAACGTTGCTTGCTGAAGTGAAGAGGACTTGAAGCACTTATTGATGAAGATCAAAGAGCACAGCCTTTAGTATGAATTACTCTTCAACATAAAGAAAACAAAAATCCTCACAACTAGACCAATAAGCAACATCATGATAAACGGAGAAAAGATTGAAGTCAAGGATTTCATTTTGCTTGAATCCACAATCAACGCCGATGGAAGCAGCGGTCAGGAAATCAGACGATGCATTGCTTTCGGCAAGTCTGCTGCAAGAGATCTCTTTAAACTGTTAAAAAGCAAAGATGTCACTTTAAGAACTAAGGTGGGCCTGACCCAACCCGTGGTGTTTTCAGTCGCCTCGTATACATGTGAAAGCTGGACAGTTGAATAAGGAAGACCGAAGAAGAATGATGCCTTTGAATTATGGTGTTGGTGAAAAATATTGAACATACCATGGACTGCCAAAAGAACAAAAAAATCTGTCTTGGAAGAAGTACAGCCAGAATGCCCATTAGAAGCAAGGATGGCAAGACATTATCTCACATATTTTGGACATGTTATCAGGAGAGACCAGTCCCTGGAGAAGGACGTCATTCTTGGTAAAATCGAGGGTCAGTGAAAAAGAGGAAGACTCTCAACAAGATGGATTGACAAAGTGGCTGCAAACAATGGGCTCAAACCTAGCAATGATTGTGAGGATGGTACAGGACCGGGCAGTGTTTCATTCTGTTGTACATAGGGTTGCTGTGAGTTGGAATCAACTTAACCACACCTAACAACAAATATATTTGTTGTGGTTAGCTTCTGTTGAGTTGGCGCCTAACTCGTGGTGACCCTGTGCACAATTGGATGAGACCATTGTGATCCATTGAGTTTTCATTGGCTGATTTTTAGCAGTAATTACCAGGCCATTCTTCCTAGTCCATCTTAGCCTGGAAGCTTCAATGAAACTTGTTCAGCATCATAGCAACACACACGCCTCCACTGACAGACAAGTGGTGGTTGTGACTTGAGGTGTATTGGCCAGGAATCAAACCCAGGTCTCTCACATGGAAGGTGAGAATTCTACCACCGAATCACCACTGCCCTCTGTGAAGTGTATGTGTAAGTGTGTACTACAGTGTGCGTATGTATACATACATACACGCACTATAAACAAAAAAACCCTGTTGCTGTCAAGTCGACTCTGACTCATAGTGCCCTTATAGGATGGAATAGAACTGCCCCATTGGGTTTCCAAGGAGTGGCTGGTGGATTCGAACTGCTGACCTTTTGGACCACTGTGCCACCCTATAGTACATAAATATTCAGAGTTGTGTGTTTGTCTGTGAATGTATACATACATACATAAATACATACACATATGCAGTTTTCCTATTTATTGTGATGTATAGATAGAAAAATTGCATTTCAGTAGGTAGATTTTGATAACAGGGAATTAGAATTGAGAAGATTGAAAAGTAAGAATTGTATTTCTTTGTGGTTACTAATTCTAAGTGTCTTTCATTTGTAAAGGGCATGAATTGTTATCCGAATTACAGCAGCGTCGATTTAATGGCTCAGATGGAGGGGTCTCATGGTCTCCTATGGATGACGAATTGCTTGCACAGCCACAGGTTATGAAATTACTAGATTCACTCCGAGAGCAATATACTCGCTACCAGGAAGTTTGTAGGCAACGTAGTAAGCGTACACAGTTAGAAGAGATTCAACAGAAAGTAATGCAGGTAGGTACCAGTATTGTCTGCTTTGAATATATTTCACTTTTTCATTGATTATTTTTATTGTGTGACTAATTTTTTACCGTTGTTGACACAATATAGAGAACCTTAGACAATAAACCAGATCCTAAAACTATTTCTAATTACGTATCTTTTTACAAATAATGTTTGCATTTAAATTATTTCTACAGTGTTGTGACTGAGCACTTAGCTCACTTTTTAAGTTGTGGTAAAATGCATATAATAAAAGATTTGCAACTCTGACCGTTTTTACGTGTACACCCCAGTGGTATTAATTACATTCACCATGTTACTCAACCATCACCGCTCTGTTTCCAAATTTTTCCATCACCTTTAATAGGAACTCAATGTCCCCTAAGCAATAACTCCCACCTGCCCCTGGTAACCACTAATAAACTTTGGTCTCTATGCAATTGCCTATTATAAATATTTCATGTAAGCGGAATCATACAATATATGTCTTTTTGTGTCTGACTTGTTTCACTCAGATTAATGTTTTCAGGGTTCATCCATGTCATATCATGTATCAGGACTTCATTTCCCTTTACAGCTGATCAGGTCACTCTTAACATTATATAACTTAAAAAATAACTATTTGTTGGGAACATCATTTGTGGTCTTGATTTATTCTTGAAATATATAACATTGGCTATTGATATTTGATTTATTTTTAATTTCCAAGCATTAGTTAATTTTTTTATTTTGGTACTTCTACAAAATTTGTACATTATGAAGAATTTTCTATCCTATCAAAATTATACATGTAATAAAAGTAATTCCAATATTAAATCTCATGATTTTATCATACTGATAGAAAATATTGATAGTTGAATTAATTATATTCATAACATGTAATAATAAATATTTGATAGTTATGACTGTTTAGCTCCTTTTAAAATTGTTTTCTTAGTAAGAAAATTAGGTTAAAATACTAAATATCAATACTAAGGGAAGGCATTTCTGTTTTTAGATTACATTCTGGATTGGATTTTTATCTGTTGTATTATTGAGAAAAAAATCTTTCCATGTTTTCTTTAAAAAAACTAAATTAGAAATGCCACAATGTTGTTTTAATGTAGATTCATTCATTAAATAAATATTAAGTGCATATATGTGCAAGGCATCTGTGCTAGGTTGTGTAGAGAGTGTAAAGGTAGACTTGGGTATTTGCTACCATTAAGTTGAAGAGGAGAAAGTGTTAAGTGCCACAAGGGCATGAATAAAGTTCCTTTATAGGAAGGATTATTACTCTGGCTATAGGGAATCAGGGAGCACTTGAGTTTGTCCTCTAAGAATGTTTAAGATTTCACCAGACAGTGATAAATTTTAAAGGAAAATTGGCATTTCTTTTTCTTTTTTTTTGGGAGGAGAAAGAATAGCATGAGTAAAAGAACAGCAGCATGAAATCCTAAGCTCTGTTGAGGAAGTAGTAGGCACAGGAAAAAGTTTATGGCCTTTGAATCAAACAGCAGAACCTGAATCCCTGCTTCTCCGCTTATTAGTGGTGTGATCATAGTTACATTATGTCATTTACCTGAACCTCTGTCTTCCACTCCTCTCTTCTTTCCTTCCCTCCTGCCCTTCCTTATTTTTTTATTAATAACAGTACTGCTTTTGAAATGCTAGTATTTGGAAAGAACCCAGTACTCAATTAGTGACAGCTATTATATTTAAACTGGGGCCCTGGTGGCATAGTGGTTAAGAGCTCAGGCTTCTAACCAAAAGGTCTGGCAGTTCAAATCCACCAGACGCTCCTTGGAAACCCTATAGGGCAGTTCTGCTCTATCCTATAGGGTCTCTATGAGTTGGAATTGACTTGAAAGCAACAGGTTTGGTTGTTTTGGTTTTATTATATTTAAGGAGCTTTGTTGGTGCAGTGGTTAAGCGCTCCGCTGCTAACTGAAAGGTTGGTGGTTTGAACCTACCAGCCACTCCACAGGAGAAAAATGTGGCAGTCTGCCTCTGTAAAGATTTACATCTTTGGAAACCCTGTGGGGGCAGTTCTACCCTGTCCCATAGGGTCGCTTTGAGTCAGAATCAACTCGACAGCAATGAGGTTTTGTTTTTTGTTTTTGTGGGGTTTTTTTTTTGGTATTATATGTATTTCCACTGAACTAGACTCAAGCCTAGAGGCCTAGTTCCGTTGCTGGCAAACTTATTCTGTAAAGGGCCTAATAGTAAGTGCTTTAGGCTTTGTGGCCTATTTGGTCTCTGTTGTGGCTACGCTTAACTGCCACATAACTCTGCTGTTGTAGTGCAAAAACAGCCATAGACATTATGTAGACAAGTGGATGTGACTGTGTTCTAATAAAACTTTATTTACAAAACCAGGCAGTGGTCCAGAAATGGCATGTGGGCTGTAGTTTGCTGATCCCTGACCTCCAGCATCAGGATGTCATGGGAAAAAAGGCTTGAAAGGAAGGAAGGATTCCAGACAAAAGGATTTATGCTTTTTCCCATGGTAACTACATATAAACTGAAGATTTCTGAGCAAGCATTAATTTTTTACTTTAAAATGACTCTATATATTTACTGTAACTCATTTGGAAAAGGAGGATCCCCTGAATGGCACAAACAATCACTCAACTACTAGCTGAAAGGTTGACGATTTGAACTCACTCATAGGCACCTCGGAAGACAGGTCTAAGGATCTGCTTCCAAAAGGTCACAGCCTTGAAAACCTTTTAGAGCAGTTCTACTATGCACACATGGGGTCACCATGAGTTGGAAACCCCTCAACAGCAACTAACAACAACAGAAGAGAAAGATGGGTATAAATAAGGCAATATCTGATTTTGACGAATAGAACCTGAAGGAGTAGGTCTTGATTAAATTGGATACTTCCTGGAAACTCAGAAAAAGAGGCACCAGGAGATGGAAGAGTGGTTTAGTAAGACAGGTGCAGCCTTCCCTAAAATAGATTTTATTTTTTCCAGAAATTGTTCAGAGCTGCTCTTCTTCCTTTTCTCTTTCCTGCATGGCCTCTCTTTTCAGGCTCTGTACAGTTAAGATTATACCTGAATATTGGAGTTAATAAAAGTTTGACACTCATTTGAAAATATAATAGTATTTTTTAACATTATTTTTATTCTTAAAAAAAATAATCCAGGTTCCTAACAATCAGATTATAGATGGACTTTTTCTAGGTAATCTATTCATAAGTTAACCACAACTTATATTAAATGAAGGCAAACTTTAACCAAGTAGCTTGAGATTATCTTTGACAAGCACAAAGATGGAATAGTAGTACAGGACAGATTCTGAACCCAAATAATCTGGGTCCACTCTCTTCTCCCACTTCCATGCTGCATGACCGTGATGCCCAAATGCCCTCCTCAGTGGGCCGTGAGTAATAGTAATCATAATAGTAATGCCCACTTAATAGCACTGTTGTGAGGATTAAAGAAGATAATTTTTATAAAAATTTTAGTGCCTGACACAATGAGTTCTCTATTAGTAGTATCTATTGTTTGTTCATTTAATCAATAAATAAATGTCTACAGTAGTGTGACATTGTGCTAGGTTTAGGAATATAATGGTGAATAAAAAAGACAAAGTTCCCACCTTTGTGGATCATAATTACATAATCACACAAACATTTGTAAATTGCAACTGTGACAAGTGCCAAGAAGAAGGGTGATGGGAGTAAGGGTGAGGAAGAAGAAGATACCAAGGATGAATCATGTTTCTGGCTTGCAGGACTTAATGGATGCTGGTGCTGTCCGTGTAGGGAACACTGGATGATGTTTGAGTGTGGGTGGGAAAGGGTGTTGAGATCATGAGTTTGGTTTCAGACGTGTTGAATTTGAGGTGATTTTGAGATATCTAAAAGAAGATGTAGGAGGGTAGTATAGAATAGGTCCAGACATCAGAGTGGAAATCTGGGCTGGATGAGAATTATCCAAGTAAAGAGTAGGTGAAACGAGGATTTTTTTTTTAAATTGTACTTTAGATGAAGGTTTACAGAACAAATAGTTTCTCATTAAACAGTCAGTACACATTGTTTTATGACATTGGTTAACAACCCCAAGACATGTCAACACTCTCCCTTCTCGACCTTGGAAGACCTTTTTTTTCGGTGAAAATATACATAGCCAAAGTTACACCATTTCAAAAGTTTCTACATCTACAATTCATTGACACAATTACATTCTTCCAGTTATGCTTCTATTCTCACTATCCTTTTCCAAATTATTCCATCACCGTTATCTTCAACTCACTGCCCCCTAGGCTTCCCATCAGACCTTTTGAGTTGCGTTTGTCAATTTGATCTCACATAGATAATTCTTTTTTTTTTTTGTACCTTAGATGAACGTTTGCAGAACAAATAGTTTCTTATTAAACAGTTAGTACACATATTGCCCTATGACAATGGTTAACAACCCCTTGACATGTCAACACTGTCCCTTATCAACGCTGGGTTCCCTATCACCAGCTTTCCAGTCCCCTCCTACCTTCTAGTCCTTGTCCCTGGACTGCTGTGCCTCATTAGTCCCATTTCGTTTTATGAGGCTGTCCAGTCCCCAGCTGAACGGTGAATTTCGGGAGTGACTTCACTGAGTTAAAAGGGTGTCTGGGGGCCATACTCTCGGGGTTTCTCCAGTCTGTCGGGCCAGTAAATCTGGTCTTTTCTTTTGTGAGTTAGAATTTTGTTCTACATCCCTTTCCGGCTCTGTCCAGGACTCTCTGTTTTGATGCCAGTCAGAGCAGTCAGTGGTGGTAGCCAGGCACCATCTAGCTGTACTGGACTCAGTCTAGTGGAGGCTGTGGTAGCTGTAGTTCATTAGTCGTTTGGACTAATCTTTTCCTTGTATCCTGTTCTCTTCATTCTCCCTTGCTCCCAAAGGGTTGAGACCAGTGGAGTATTTTAGATGGGTACTCACAGGCTTTTAAGACCGCAGATGCTACTCACCAAGATAGAATGTAGAACATTGTCTTTGTAAACTGTGTTATGCCAGTTGAGCTAGATGTTCCCAGAGAGCATG